TAGTCTGTTTTCAGATAAAGACAATTTAACTTGTAGGAATTTGACAAGTTTTAGATTCTCACGGGTTCATATCTACAAATTCTTATATGTTACAATTTTTGGGACGACAAATTTTTGAAATTTTAAATGTAATTTCTAATTTTTACATTTCCAAGTTTTTATATTGCTGCGAGCCATTATACATATTTTCGGATTTTTAAGTTCTCCGATTTTTACATAATCGAATTTTTAATTTCATCAACTTTCACATTTTAAAATTTTAAAATTCTCCGAATATTACATTATCGAATTTTTAATTTCACCAATTTTCAGATTTTCAAATTTTGAAATTTTGCAATTTTTATGTTTTGGAATTTTTTAATTCCCCAGGTTTGACATTATAAAATTTTATAACTCCCCAGTTTTCAAATTTGAGAATTTTTGAGAAATTTCTACATTTTCAGATTTCTAAATTCTCTAATCTCCATATTTTAAGAATTAAGTTCTTCAATTTTTATATTTTTAAATTTTCTAATTTTCCCATTTTTCCATTTTTCCATTTTTCCATTTTTCAATTTTTCCAATCTCTGTACTTTTAGATTTGTTAAACTTCAGAAATTTGTACATTTCCAAGTTTCAGTATACTTGACTATGCAAACTTCAAAATTATTATATGTAATACTATAATTTATTATGATAATTACTCAATTCAGAGATTTCTAAAGTATGATTCCTGACATCCTGCGCCACTAATTTTAGGCGAATCATGTTTAATATTAAAATATGTAAAATTTACAAGCAGAGAAATTCAGAACGAGGGTCGTAATTTACTGCTGGATCGCGTGAAATAGCAAGCTATATATTTTTATTCTCAAAAGCGATATTTTCTTGTTTAACACCTTTTCCTCTTAAAATATGCCTCCGCAAGTAAATATATTGTGAAATGTTACAGTTCTGCAAGTGTATCTCAGACAATAAAAGTTTAGCAAGAACTGAGTTAATTAGCAAAGAAAAAAGTTAATTTATTCTCTTCGTAATTCTATATGATATACCCTAATAGGTACATTAGTTCGTATAATTATAGTTTTAAGTTATGTGAATTAGTTAACTAACAGGCATAATAATAAATGTATTCTTTTTGTAATTAAATGTGGTATAGAGTAGAGATGAACAAATATGTGTGGGAAGTAAAGTAGCTAATTTCTAAAAATTAAAAATGTCCAATTCATGGTCTATCAAATTTTTCTATAAAATTCTCAATTTATCAAATATTTCAACTACTAAATCCTAATTTGTCAAATCTTTCGATTAACAAATTCTATTTTATCAAATCTTTCAACTACCAAATTTTAATTTGTCAAATATTTCAATCAACAAATTCTAATTTGTTTTAATATCAAATCTTTCCACTATCAAATTCTAATTTGTCAAATCTTTCAATTAACAAATTCTAATTTATCAAATCTTTCAACTACCAAATTCTAATTCATCAAATTCCTAATTTACTAAACTTTGCAATTAGTTTCTAAATTATACAACTTCTCTATCTAAAATTTCTAAATTCATAGATCTGAAATTTTTACGTCTCAATTTTTATAAATTTTTAAATCCCTAAATTGGAAAAATATCTTAAAAATGAAAACAGATTCAATATTTCTTGAAACATACAATATTTATTTTCCTGTCGCAACACAGGTCACTTTATTTAAAATTAATCGCGAAATACAATAAACATTTCCTACAAATTAAGTATACCATTTTTTATCCAAAATTTCACAAAGATATAAATTATTTTGTAATAGTTTTATCCAATTCGTATGATTACGTACTAAAATACCCCAAGGCTTAAATAATTTGACTTAGATTTGCAAAGCACTATAAATTTTACATCCTTTTTATCTTTGCCGTTGATAATCATTCCAGATTAATTCTTTAATTAAGATTAAAACGTTACAGCCGAAGCATAAAGATATTACTTTTTTACGAACATGGTTGACGGAAAGGAATTATTTCTTGTAAAAATTATGCAAAACATGATGGATAGCAACAAAATTATATTTGTTTCAGACACTTTCTATTAAACATTTAAACAATTTTATTTCAGTAGAATTTCACATTCTTGTCAGAACATACCCCAACACATTTGTGTGGGACGCGGATATTCAATCATTTTAATTGCAGTGTTGTTCTTTCTATATTATAAAATTTATTGAGGAAGTAACTTAACAACTGCTAAAAAGTAATTACTTTTCAATGCTTGAAAACAACTGTTAATATTTCTCCTATAAGCATAAAATGCATGGTTGATTTTATTAATGTATTTATTATTTTGAAATTTTCTGGAAAAAAAGTTAATAAATGTATAATTAGAGTTTCACATCAATAATGGTTATTTAATGGTCATTTAATGTACATTCATTTCTATACAAATGTATAGAAAATATTCTAATTCTACAAATGTATTAATGAATAATACAAAAATTTTAAACACTAATTTTGTTAAATAAAAATTTGCTAGTGAGGAAAGTAAGAAAAGTACAATATAATAAATAATGTAGAATTTACAATAAAAGCAACTAAATTAATAGTTTTTTATTTTCTCTCAATGACACATTTATAATTATAAATGTATAAAGTTGTATAAAGTTAATATTTGTATCTGTGTATGTTTCCTTAAATTATCGTAAAGCTTTGTAAGTCAAGAAATAAAATGAATACTTCATAATTATAATCTCTCGTACCCCAGCGTTAATTGAGAATGTAACTGGAATAGACCTGAATTCTCCAAAATCTGACACACAAACTACAGTTACTCAATTCACATTATTTAACACTAAAACTATCAAATCAGTCAAAAAACAAATCCCCAGATTTCATATTCTTAATTACATTATAATCAATAATTAAAGTTACTTAAAAGCAAAATTAATGGCTAAAATAATATAATAATAGTTAAGTACAATAATATTGGAAAATTAAAATAATTTGTTTGAAATATAGTATTACTTTTATTGGAATAAAGAATTAATATATAGATATACTAATTTATGTCTTATCCACTATTTCATCAATTTTAATTTAAAAGTTCATACACTGTTTAAGTAGGCAGTTTTAGTATCTGAATGTCATGGTATATGTTTCTAATTCTTAACCTAACTTAAATAGTATAACCTAACCTAGTATCCAACTTTTATTTTTCACAACCTAACCTAAACAGTACTTGTTTATACCTTGCTCATATACATATATTTGTATCTTACCCATAATTAATTTATCTAAAATTTAAAAGAGCGCATTGGTAGCTTCAGTCTTCGTACATCCTTGTATTTCCTTCTAACACCTAACCTAATTTATTCATAATCTAACCTCAGTTATGCATATTCTATTTCTTGCTTTTGCGAATACTATGTACCTCTAAATTTTTCAGTTCCGTTTATAGATCATGTTCTTCGAGTGCGTTTCATGTATCAAAATCTTCCTGCGGATGACATGACACGATCTTCCTGTGAGAAGATATCAAATCTTCGCGTGATGAATCGGAAAATATAACACCACACATCATTTCCGTGTCCTTAAAAAATCTTCGAGCACGATGACTTTGTATGTTCGACGACGGGTGAAGAACATTTCTCAAATACTTGATGCAAAATCGTAAATGAAACAAAACTGGCATGAATCGAGAAACTATTTGGCAGAAAGAACAGCTGAACGTACTGAGCCAATTGTTTGTTGAGAAACAACCGGAAATATCTTTGTCATAATAATTCGAAGTGAAACTTTCAATTGAGGTATGAAAAATATCTGCTGAGGTGCCAAAATCTAAATCAAATCTGACGTTTCTCCGACGAAAACGAATAAAATAAAAACATTTTAAGATCTTGATTGATGTAAATTCTTATAAATTCGATTAAAAGAGTAAAACTTTCGAAATAGATTCTTGAGAATATCAAAATACCGCGATTTTTTCAGACGGGTGTTAAATTTATGATAAACGAAAGAATTTTGTCCAAGATGGTCTTCCAGTGTGATCTTTTAGCGTGGAAAGTTAACGAAGCTAAAGAAAAATAAATTTTGGTTACTTTTCTGATTTAGAACAGATAGAATTGTAAAATGTAAAAATGATATAAATCGTAGATTTTTACAGGGTTAATTTATAATTAATATAACAGGTATGTATGTTACGGTTAATACATGTGGAACATAAATCGTATACTTCGTTAGAACTTACTTAGTGTTGCATTATTTTAAGAAATAGTTATCTACATTCTATTATTTTAATAATCAGTAAGTAAGCACTTATTTATATTCAAAAATTTCAAATAATATGTAAACTACTATTTATTTTAATAATTTTAATAAATAAACAATTATTTATATTCTAATATTTAAAATAAATAATAAGTGAACAATAATTTGTATCATATTATTTAACAAAAAATACGAAATCAATCAACAATATTTTACACTATTCTACCAACAAGTGTAATATGTACTATTACAATAAAAAATTAGTAAAATTTGTATTAAAAAAAATTAAGAATTTCTAATGCTATTAACGATCATGCTCCAATATACAAAAACAATTATATTTCAATATAAAGAAACCGTTATATTTCAAAATATTCAACTTTAATGAAAGTGAAGAAAGGATTATCTGTCAATAAAAAACATTATTAACACTTGAAAAATAGTTATAAAATTTTTAGTAGTAAAACTATATTGAAAGACTAATATAAATTAATTTTGTTTGTTCTAAAAGTATATGTTTTCAATATTTTAACATTTCTTAATATCTTTTTAATATTTTTTAATATTTCGAAATAGTAAATAAATAAGTACATGTAATGATTCGATATAAGTGAAAACAACCTATACTGAACCTTTAGACCCGAAATATTCACTTATATCGAATCATCGCTGTATTATGAAATAAGTTGAAACGAAAAAATTCTTTCAGCCGAACCGCAGGATTAATATGTCTGAAATATATTAAAACACGATTTGAAGAAAAATGCACTTACCTTCCATTATGCGCCTTACAGCCTCTTCGAGGTTAGCTCCAGCGTCTTTCAAAATGACGTACATCAATGGTAGCATTTCCCAAGGATATTGGAAGAGGTCTAGAAGTTTGGTACTATACTCCAGCAGAATTTCCACACTGTCGCCTGAAACATTAAACGGAACAAATGAAACTAAACATTTTACTGCTTCATTTTGGATATACATATTCTTCAATCATGAGTACTAGAAGTGCAGCATATTTAGAGCACTACTGATATTTTAAAATACGGAACTATCTAAAGTCCTAATTACCAGTTGATTAACGTAATCAGTTAATTTATAATAGTACTATGTACATGTACATTTATTCTATGCAACAAATATCATGAATGAAATCCAGTTAATAGATGAAACTCGACTGACCATAATTTTGATATTGGCAAAATTATTTCAATAAAGTTTCATTTGGGAGACTTGTTTTACTGATGGTAAATAAATCTGTGGAATCCATCGAAATGACAAATCTCAGATTTCTTATTTCAAGTTACAGACATTATTAAGACACTGTTATTAGAATGAATGTTAATTTTTAAGACATTAAATCATTGTTATAAGTTTATTTATTTCAATTATTTCTTTACTGCAGTTTCAATATACCAATAATATTCAATATCAGTGAATGGAGTGTTAATTGCCGCTATCTGTTTCGCAATGTTTATACATCAGTAACACTATGTTTAGTTAAGAAATACATATTTCAAATTGTTGTGTTAAATCGAATGATATAAATCAATTTTTGAGTATAAAGGATTAACCAGTCAATTGTGTTTAACAATTGGCAAATTATCAAATTGGCAAATTGCTAAGTTACTATACTACTAAATTACTAAAATCCCAAATTCCACAATTTTTCACTTTCCAAAACCCAAATTACCATATTACCAAATTGTCAATTTCTGAACTGATGGATTTTTAATAGTGAATACAGTTATTTTTATTAAAAATACGCAAAATATATTATTACAAGAAGACGCCGGCCATCGTAAAACATGAAGTCACCAACGATTCTCAAAACACAAAACGCTGCACGGCAACCAAAAACAGAAAAGGAAGGACCGCGAATTTCTTCATTTAAGAGTTTTAAACGTGCGTAAATTCAAAACTCCAACATGAACAAATTTCGAAACCTTAAAATTAAAAAACTTCTCAATTACCAAATTACTAACTTCACAAATTTCCAAATTCACAGAGCTTAAAACACAAACAGCACAAAGAGCCAGTCAACCTCAGAAGCTGGAAATTACCAGCAGAAAGCAAAGCTACAATGTTTCAAGTGTGGAAAAATTGGCCATAGGATGGATGAGTGCCGTTCAAGGTATAGTAACAAGAATGACTATTATTCCAGACAAAGTAATAAGAATGACCACCACTCAAGATATAAAGACTTCAAAAGACAGAATGATGGTAAGCCTGGGGCCAAAGTGGCTCATGAATTGTTGTATGTAGATTGTGATTCTCAAAAGGCATATGAGGTTAGAGAAAATGAAAATGAAGAGTATTGGTGTCTTGACAGTGGCTGCACAACACATCTTTGCAAGGATGCATCAAAATTTATTGGTATGAAACCATCTAACTCAAAGAAGTCAAATCTTGTTAATAATACGTCTACACAAGTGAAAGCAGCAGGTAATGTCTCAGTAAATGTAGAAGTAGATAATAGTAGTAAATGTGTAGAATTTGAAAATGCATTATACGTACCTGATTTGAGAACTAATCTAATATCTGTAGCCAAGATTACAGACAAGGACAATGAGATAATTTTTAAAAGGAACGAAGCTATAGTAAGAGGAAGAGATGGCAAAATAAAGGTAAAGGCACAACGTTTAGGAAATCTATACTATGTACGTGAGAAAGTTGAGTATGCAAACAAAATTATGGATCATGAGAAGAACGAATTGAGATTATGGCATGAGAGGCTGGGTCACCTGAACATCAGGGATGTATTATACTTGGGACATAATAACCTCCTTGCAGGAACAGCCCTAAAGAATAACACAGAGAAGATAACACAAGAAGCATGTGAAGTATGCTTAAATGGTAAATTCGTTTCATTACCGTATCCTAAGGAGAGTAAACGACACTCCCAATTATTGGAAATAGTTCACTCAGATGTATGTGGACCTATGAGCATGAACTCACTAGGAGGCTCAAGATATATGGTCACTTTCATAGAGGATTCCACCAGGTGGTGTGAAGTACACTTCTTAAAACACAAGAATGAGGTTTTACAAGCCTTTCAAATATACAAGAAACGCGTGGAAAAGCAGACAGGATGGAAAATAAAATGCCTGCAGGCAGATAATGGAAGAGAATATGTTAATGCAAAATTTGATTCTTTTCTCGGGAATGAGGGTATCCTAAGGCGTCTTTCTGTTCCGTATTCACCACAGCAGAACGAGATAGCTGAGCACATAAAATCGTACTTTGATAGAAATGGCACGATGTATGTTAATCCAGGGACAATTATCTCATGGATTTTGGGCGGAGGCTATTTCAACCGCCAACTATGTGAGAAACAGATGTATAACAAAAAGTCTTATAGGAAGGAGTCCCTTCGAATTGTGGTATGGAAAACAACCCGACCTGAGACATATACGGACGTTTGATAAGAAAGCACATATATTAAATAAGGATCCTCGAAAGGGAAAACTCGATCCGAGAACAAAAGTAGGAGTAGGTATTTATTGGTTACTCGGAGGAAGCGTATCGTGTATGGATTCCGGAAGAGCGAAGAATTGTAGTATCGCGTGATATTAAAATTTTAGAGAAATAAAGAAACACACATAATAAATAAGAATTATGAGAAAGATCCACCACTGGGAGACATACCACAGGTCATGGATTGGTATGATAACAGCGAATCGTTGGTGGAAGAACGTGATGCTACACAACAACAAAGGGGAAGTACGCCTGAAACACATTCGAGAAGCGACACCCTTGAAGGCCAGATGAGAGCACCAGGAAGACTACGAATAATACGCACTGGAGCAAGAGGACGACCGAGAAGAATTTATAATATGGTTAATGTTCCCACTGCTTTGACTGAAGCCGAAAATCAAGGAGAGGAAGTAGGTGAGCCTATGGATTCGAATCCAAGTCAGAGCTCTCCCCTTGATCTTCCCTCGGAAACAGGTGAGCAAGTAAATCCACTCAATGAAGTACAAAATGAAGTAAATTTAACTGAAATTAGTATGGAAGATGCCTTATCGAGTGAATTTAGGTCCCAATGAAAAGAAGCAATTAAAAAGGAAGTAAGAAGTCTTTTGAAAAACGAAACTTTTGAGATTGTAAATAGACCAACACATAAAAGAGTTGTGGGTTGCAAGGCTGTATTAACAAACAAGGTGAATGCAGATGGAGTCCTGTGTAAAAGAAAGACACAAATAGTAGTCAAGGGTTACAACCAATGTCCAGGAGTGGATTCCACAGAAACATTCACACCTGTAGCAAGACTGGATTCTATCAGGTTGCTACTGGTATTGGCCGCAGAAAATGATATGGTGGTGGAACAATTGGATGTTACGAATGCCTATTTAAATGGTAAGCTCAATGAAGAAGTATACATGGAAGTTCCAGAGTTATTTGAGGAATGTTTGAAAGGGATTGCGGATGAAATTAAGGAAAATCAACATGTAAGAGAAGTCACCAAAAGAATGTTGAATCAACTAAATGATGGGAGAGGCAAGGTATGTCACCTGCATAAAGCCAAATATGGATTAAGACAAGCTGCCAGACAATGGAATGAGGAACTGGATAAAGTACTAAAACGTGGTGGACTAATACCTGCAGTAGCGGACCCATGCGTATATCACGGAGTGATAGGTAATCGTCACGTATATCTAGCTGTATATGTAGACGACATGCTCATTATTTATGAAGATCAAAGAACATCCGATATCATAAAACAAGAATTGATGAATCATTTTAAAGTAAAGGATCTGGGGCAAGCAAAGTATTGTTTGGGTACAGAAATAAACATACAGCTAGGAAAAATCAAATTGTCGCAGAGGAAATATATAAAGGATGTCTTAAAGCGTTTTGGAATGGAGAATTGTAATGTGGTGCAAACTCCAATGGACAAAGATATAATATTTCAGAAACCAAAGACGAAGAATGAAACTCAGAGGAGGCCTTATCAGTAGTTGATAGGAGCCCTGACATATTTAGCAGGAGCAACCAGACCGGACATAGCACATGTAGTGAGCGTGTTAGCCCAATTCAATGAAGAAAACGACGAAATTCATTGGACCGCTGCTAACCGAATTTTAAGATATTTGAAGCTAACCGTAGATTATAGTATTTGTTACAGAAAAGAGAAATCCAAGGTTTTCGGATATATCGATACAGACTAGGGTAGATGCAAAGTAGATCGACGATCGTACACTAGATACGTATTTACGTACGCGGGAGGACCGATATGTTGGAAATCTCAAAAGCAGAGAAAATAGTTATATATAATGATAATATAGGAGCTCAGTTATTATCCAAAAATGCGATTGTACATCCTAGAACTAAACATATAGATATACGTTATCATTTTATAAGAGAAACCTTGAAGAAAAAGACTATTAGTGTAGAACATGTAAGGACTTACGAAATGTTAGCAGATTTTTTGACGAAACCCTTAAGCAAGGAAAAACATTATTTTTGTACTGCGAGCTTAAATTTAAAAGAATAATTTTTTGTTTTGTATTATTTGATATAGTTAAAAACATAGGTCTGTATTGAGAGGAGGTGTTGGTAATGTAGTATTTCCAGTGGTGAAATAACATTGCAAAAGTTGGCAACCCAGGCCGATCTTATTTTCTTTTTCTACGGGACGACGCGCCGCCAATTTCCGAGCTCGTCCATTCCATTGCGACTCGTGCATGCGATCACTATGTAATCAATATATGTATATTATTCGTTCATGAGAGTACAAGTGTGTATAGAGTTATTTGTCTACCCTACCAACAATATTAGTATTCGTATATTTAGTATTTTGTATTAGTAAATAAATAATATTATTTATTAACGATTACTGTTTATACAAAATAGTTTTCTTGTAATTTTGTAGAAGGAAACAAAATTTTATTTCTTAAAAATATTTCAATAATAATCTCAA